GAACGACAGTCTACGGGCAATGCGGGTCATTTCCCAAAGTAGAACTCTCTGCTTCAATAGTTTGCCTAACATCCCTTTCTGCCTTCACAAAAATGGCAAATCTATTCTGATATACTCCTGGTTGCTTTTGATGGATTCTAGGATTTGAAGACAGCTATGAAACACCAATTTGAATACAAATCAAACTGATAGAGTCTAGGTCTTCCCACCAAGATTGTAGAGGCTCGAATGTCACACTTCTGCAAAGTGGTCCTTCCAGACTTTTCTCGAACTTTCGCTGAATAGTCTGTTCACCTTCTCTACAGGCAGGTATTTCCAAGCATGTTGACGTCCTCATGTTTTATAAGCTATTCACATTCTATTAGTCAGCCAAACTTTAACGAACCATCATTTTACAGCTTATTTACCTTCTATAAAGGTCCTTCCCAACTTAGACACATTTGTCCTCTAATGATTGTTCTCCTTTGGAGAACCAAAGCCTTTCCATGCCTTTAGACGTCCTGTTCCAATGCCATTTGAATATGGCTTGTGTACATAGAAGTTGTTCTATAAATTCAAATGAAAACATTAACAACCTTCGATCATTTTGTAATTTTCAAAACATCATAGTGAATTTCTTAAAAAGAAGTCTGTTGCTCAATCGTTAATTCATTTTCTTGGAGTTTACAGCGAAATTGATTAATCCCTAGGAATTGACAATGAGGGTGTATGATGTATTGACAAACTTACATTGAAAAGAATTATGTGGGGGAGTCCCCTAGAGTAGGGAATCTTCATAGACCAACGAAGTCATCCTAATTAATAATTTAAAATGATAAAGCATTGAGATGAAAACAGAAAATTGTAAAAGAGTAGAAATTCCTCGTTTAAATATAAAATCCTGGATCTACCGCTTGATTTGGAAAGGGTGTATTATTCAAATGGGGCAAGTTATAGCTTGCAGAAGATCTTCAACATCCATGCTTGGTTTCAATGTGAAATCATCGTAACATAAGATTTCATTTTTCCATACCTCCAACATAAGTATAAATGTGCAAATACTATATATCTTTATCAAATATTGTAAAATTACAACATTTATTATTCGAGGGATCTAAACCAAAGCTAGAATGTTCTATCATTTAATTAAACAATATTAAAGTACTGCACCCATCAGTGGGTCCAACATATGCTCGCAACAAATTTTCTATTCTTTTAGTCATTTTGTATACTAACTCTCCAAAAGCACCCGACATGTGGACGAACTTTGGGTCGCCGATGATCGCAAGAAATGTATCGGATGGCAATAAATGGGGAAAAGTGCCAAAAAAGTCTTAAACCTTTTGCATTAGAGCCAATTTAGTCCTAAACCTTTTTTTGGTGCCAATTCAGTCCTAAACCTTTTGCATTGGTGCCAATTTAGTCCTAAACCTTTTTTTGGTGCCAATTAAGTCCTAAACCTTTTAAATTGGTGCCAATTCAGTCCTAAACCTTTTGTTTTTGTGCCAATTTAGTCCTTCCGGTCAATTTAGACCGGAATTTGCCTACGTGGACGCCTGCCGGCCGACTCGACCTCGCTAGATCCGGCGAGGTCGGGCCTCGCCCGACCATGGCGAGGCTCGCCCTCGCCGCGGCCTCCTGCGAGGGCTCGAGCCTTGCCTTGGTCGGGCGAGGCTTGCCCTCGCCGCGGCCTCCGGCGAGGGCTCGAGCCTCGCCCGACCAAGGTGAGGCTCGCCCTCGCCGGGCGAGGCCGTCCTCGCCAGTGGCCGGCGAGCTCGAGCTCGCCGGCCTCTGGCCTCTGGCCGATCGCCGGACCGGCGACTGGCCAGAGGAAGGAGGAAGACAACCAAAAAAAAAGTGGAAAAAAAAATAAAAAAAAAAGGAAAAAAAAATAAAAATTCAAAAAAATATTAAAAAAATATTAAAGTTGTCTACGTCGGCGCCGGTGACCGACCGCCGGCCGGCAGGCATCCACGTAGGCAAATTCTGGTCTAAATTGACCGGAAGGACTAAATTGGCACAAAAACAAAAGGTTTAGGACTAAATTGGCACTAATTTAAAAGATTTAGGACTTAATTGGCACCAAAAAAAGGTTTAGGACTAAATTGGCACCAATGCAAAAAGTTTAGGATTAATTGGCACCAAAAAAAGGTTTAGGACTGAATTGGCACTAATGCAAAAGGTTTAGGACTTTTTTGGCACTCCTTCTCACAAATCTATTAATCTCAAGCTCTTTTGATTAAATAATTCCACGCTCACTAGCACTTCGTTCTTTTCTTGAGTCATCCATGACATTGGATTGAAGCTAGCTAGGGTTCGTGTGTAAGTTGATGATTGGTCAGTAGAGACTCTCACTCATCTATAGCAGAAATTGAAATTATTAAATGACCCTTTTTTTTTAATTAAAGCAACAGAAAAAAAAATATCTCCACACTAGAGATCTGCTCACGAAAAATGTCAGCGTGAACAGATGTTTCAATATGCTGTGCTCACCACACAATTTGTAATCTTCAATTGATGGTCATTGCGCAGGTCAGATATTTTCCTCTAAAGAGCTTTTAAAAAGATAAAAATCTCGTACTTCTTTTAGATTATTAATTATTCAAGAATAGATTAGTATTAATTCTCTAATGGTTCTGCGCCCTCCATCCGGCTTGTCCTAAAGATATCATGCTTTTTGGCTCCTCGTTTGATTAGGACGAAAGCAACAAGGATAAAAAGTGTAATTTTCTTTTAAGATGTGGTAATGAGTTACATCGTCGAAAGCGAAGCAAAAAACCACTTTTCGAGCGTCGATATCTAAAGCTTGTGACATACACCGGCAATGGGAAACATTGAAGAGACTCTGCGATATAGATCCATCGAAACTCGTCGCTCTCATCCCTCTCCTTTTCCGGTGGCCCTCGACAGCACCGTCTCCGCAATTGGGTCATTCCAAGAGGACCACAACTAGAAGTCCGAAACCACCATGGCCACAAAGATCCAAGGAAAAAACACAGCAGCTAAAGTTTAGTCATTGGTTATCTTCTCAAAGATGGTAGAAGGTACGAAGCCGCCATCATTTTTTCAATAGACGAAATATGCTACAAGTCGAGTGCAAGTGCATTGAATTGTTCACAATTGGGGGACCTCCAACAAGATGCTATGGCGCTAATTCTGGGTAAAGGGCAAAAACTATAATGTTGCTTTCGTAGCTGCTTCCGTAGAAAAACTTTATGTGTTTGGGAAATTACATGGATAATCCCAACACGTAACTGCCAGGGTTCTCTGTTGTTTCCATCAAATGATATTGAGAGTACACATTAAATAATTTAAACAGAAGTTAGACTATCATCGTGGCTAAAAAGTTTCAATAGATATGATTTTGCTCCTTCCACATGGGTTATAAAAAAGTCGAGTTTTATCTTAAACAAATATTAGGTATGCAGTCAATGGTCCTCTCCAAATGACAAAAAGAAATAATAATCAAGCACCATTCGTATAATAATCTCATTAACTGCTGCTTAACTTCTGCTTGTTGAACTTTGACCGCTAGAAGCCATTCTAGCCAGGTATGACCAGCCATTTAGGAAATTAGGGACTTGTCTATGTTAAAAAATGACCCAACTAATCAAAGCTATTAATTGTCGTGCCGCTGAGGATGTTGGCTTATATGGGAACGGGTGAGCCGCTTTCCGTGAGATCATTAGTTCAATTTACTTGATGAATGTACCTCTTAACCGCTCTTGATGCATTACCTAGTTATAACATTGTTGAGTATCATGATAAACTGGAAACCCCATAAACTAGTGTTTTGAGATAACTAAAACACCCACCCTCGCTTTACTATCAGAAATAAAATCGCGGGCCTAAAGAACAAGGAATAAGATAAGTAAGAATTCATAATGTGAAATATAATAGCAAAAATGGGACAATGCTTGATAGAAACTTGACTACGATATGACCTTAAAACGATGCAATCCAAAGCTTTTATCATCGAGTGGATGAAATAATATCTTATCCCGTAAACTAGCGATGTGATATATAAAAATCGTGACATTATAAGGTTACGAAAAGAGGTGTGACCTTTTTGTCGTCATTATTTTTTTGTTTTTTGTTTTATTTTTTAGCTGTGGTTTTACAGTATGGGGACAAGTGATTGGAATGGGGCTATTCATGTGGACAGCAAACGGGGCCTATTGAAAACGTTGATAGAGAAAGAGGCCATTTCTTATGTCCATAGCCGAGGCTGCGTTCGAGGGTGTGTAGGGGCGTGTGGGGTCAGTGATGTGACCAAGATTTCGTGGTTGAAACAGACTAGAAAAAGGCCCATGTGAGCATCCATTCGAAGCAAATTTCTTTAAAAAAAAAAAGAACCCCCAAAAAAAAAAAACAAATTGAAGAAGGAGAGACGGAGAGTTCGATGTCAAATGAATAAAATATTATAACATGTAGATAATGTAAATCGAGTCCATCTCAACTATCGAAATATGAATATCACGATTTATAGACTATGCAATAACTTTTTTATTTGAAGAGATAAAGAAACGATACTCATTAGATTGAATAACTTCGATTTGAAAAACGGATTTTGACTATAATCCTCGTTCTTATTGGCCCATAATTTTAGGATGCCCTCCAATCATAGCTCTTTTTCTCTCTCTCCCGTCCTCTCCCCTTTATGTGTCAATGGTTGTGACTTATATATTGGTAATGTTTCAACCTATTTATTACCAGGCAATTTCAAAGTTCCTCACCCACGCCATGTTTTGGTATCACCACATTTTTCCACATTTTTCTTCTTTTTACTAATGTGTCGATTCATTTTTTTATATCTAAATATAATTTAAGCCCCTTCGAATGTCAATCCTCAACCTCAAGTGCCCTCCCCACAAATCTACCACGTGGTTTTCTCCTAAATGTCTGAGGTGGACCTCCTCACACACACAATGCCTCCTCTCTCTCTCTCTCTCTCTCTCTCTCTCTCTCTCTCTCCACCGCTTATCTCTATTTATACCCATTTTCCCTCATTTCTTCTCCCCCAAATCTCTCTCTCTCTCTCTCTAGTCTTCATTATTGTTTCTCTCCTTATTCTTCTGGCACCATTTCTAGACCAAACCCAGAAAAGGGAAGGTGGGGAAGCAACAAAACCAAGAAAAGAGAAGAGAAAAGAAAAGCCATGGCTCTTCCCACGATATCACCCAACTCTAGTAGTAGTAGTTGGGCTACGTATGATCACCTATCTTCTTCATCTTCTTCTGCTTCTTCTTCTTCTTCTTCACTAGTGGACTTGGGCCTCTTGCGCATGGCCAAGAACAAGAAGAACAAGCCCACCAACATCAAATTCACAATAAATGGTGCTTTGCAGTCTCCTCCCATGCTCCACTTCCCAAAGCAATCCCACCAACAACCACCACCTGCAATCACTACTAAAGAACCCACAAGCACCTCCACCTCCACCACCACCACCACCACCAAGAAAACCCACCACCACCACCACCTTCCACAGTGGAATTTCCTACAAAAGGCCGCCGCCACCACCTTAGACTTCGTCGAGAGCGCGCTGATTTCGCGGGAGCTCCACCACCCTCTCCCCAAGAATGCCGACCCCGACGTTCAAATTGCGGGGAACTTCGCCCCGGTTCCCGAGCAGCCCATCTGCCACCACCTCGCGGTGGCCGGCAAGATCCCCGATTGCATAAACGGAGTCTATGTACGGAACGGCGCTAACCCGCTGCACGAGCCCATGGCGGGGCACCACTTGTTCGACGGCGATGGCATGGTCCACGCGGTGACGATTGGCGGAGGTTGCGCCAGCTATGCCTGCCGGTTTACGGAGACACAGCGGCTGGTCCAGGAACGGGAGCTGGGCCGGCCCGTGTTCCCGAAGGCTATCGGTGAGCTGCACGGCCACTCCGGTATCGCCCGCCTCCTCCTCTTCTACGCAAGGGGGGCGTTCGGCCTCCTCGACCACAGCTGCGGGAGCGGCGTCGCCAACGCCGGCCTTGTCTACTTCAATAACCGCCTGCTGGCGATGTCCGAGGATGACCTGCCGTACCAGGTGAGGGTCAAGCACTCCGGCGACCTCGAGACGGTGGGTCGGTACGACTTTGACGGCCAGCTCGACTCCACCATGATCGCCCACCCCAAGGTGGACCCCATCACGAAGGAGCTCTTTGCCCTGAGCTACGACGTTGTCAACAAGCCTTACCTCAAGTACTTCAGGTTCTCGCCGGACGGCGAGAAGTCGCCGGACGTCGAGATCCCCTTGCCGGTCCCGACCATGATGCACGACTTCGCCATCACCGAGAACTTTGTCGTGATCCCAGACCATCAGGTCGTGTTCAAGCTCCAGGAGATGCTATGCGGTGGCTCGCCGGTGATCTACGACAAGGAGAAGACGTCCCGCTTTGGGATCCTCGACAAGAGGGCGAGCGACGGGTCGGGGATCCGGTGGGTTGAGGTACCGGCCACGTTCTGCTTCCACCTGTGGAACGCGTGGGAGGAGCCGGAGCGGGGCGAGGTGGTGGTGATCGGATCGTGCATGACGCCGGCAGACAAAATCTTCAACGAGTGCGACGAGAGCCTCCAGAGCGTGCTCTCCGAAATTCGCCTAAATCCGACGACCGGAAAGTCCACCCGCCGACCCATAATTCACCCCTCCGAGCAAGTGAACTTGGAGGCCGGCATGGTGAACCGGAACCTCCTGGGCCGGAAAACAAAATACGCATACCTCGCCATCGCCGAGCCGTGGCCAAAGGTCTCCGGCTTCGCCAAGGTCGACCTCGAGACGGGCGAGGTCAAGAAGCACTTCTACGGCGACAACAGATACGGCGGCGAACCCTTCTTCTTGCCGGCCGAACAAGACCCCGCGTGCGAAGACCACGGCCACATTCTCGCCTTCGTGCACGACGAGACGATGTGGACATCGGAGCTCCAGATCGTGAACGCCGCGAACCTGGAGCTCGAGGCCACGGTCGAGTTGCCGTCCCGGGTCCCCTACGGCTTTCATGGGACGTTCATCGAGTCCAAAGACCTAGCGAGCCAAGTATGAGTGATATAAACCTTTAGTTTCGTTCTATTTCTGGGGTTTTGGTCTTTCTTCGGGTTGGTGTAGTGTACGTGTGATTATAGAGTGAAGCAGCAGAGGAGGAGGACGAGGAGGAGGAGGTTGTGGAGGTTTTTACCGGAGAGACAGTTCATCCGGTTCCTCGTGGAAGATGAAACCTGAAACGCAAGCACAAGCCAGACTTTCTGGTTCTGTTTGTTTGTTTAAGGTTTTTCGTTGGGAAAAAAGGAAATGTTTGAGCAGAGACCAGCTCGTAGCTTTTGGACAGTGTAGTTTTTGAGCTCAGCTGGTTTCTGTTTTATCTCTCTTTTTTCTGCTTTTCCTTCTTTCATTATCCTGTAATGTTATTATTAGTTAATTTTTTTATGTCTGCAATCTGTAAATTTCCCTCTTCCTTCTCCAATTGCAATTCTAGTATGCGTGGAGGAACTATGTTTTCCTTTCTTCTTTTGCCTTTTGTTTCGGTTGAATGGACTACACAAGAATTCTGGAGTAAAATATAGTTTTTTTTTATTATAGAGTATTGCCTATTTGGCGTTGTTTTAGAGCTACGTATGCATATCATAGGCTCAAGACATCACTTGTACATTCGAAACGTCACGTTATCATTGTTGACCAAAATTAGGTATCAAGTCGCTGCCCTATATTCTGAACAAGAATGCAATTGAGTTGCTCGACTTTACGAATCAAATGATACTTGATAATAACGTTAGGGAAAATGACACAAATAGTTCATGAACTTTGACTCAATATATAATTTGATCCATGAACTTTTAATTTGTTCAATGTAGTTCCTGAATTTTAGCATAATATTTAATTTGGTCCCTGAACTTTTAATTTGTTCAATATGGTCTATGAACTTTTAGTACATGTTAATTTAGTCCCTGAACTATTTGAAAATGTTCAATGTAGTCTTTCCATTAATTTAAGTTAAGGACTACATTAAACATTTTCAGATAGTTTTGGAACTAAATTAAACATGTACTAAAAGTTTAGGGACCGCATTGAACATTAGGCTAAAGTTCAGAAACTACATTAAACAAATTAAAAGTTCAGGGACGAAATTGCACATTTGCCCAAAGTTCAGGGACTGTTTGTGTCATTATCCCATAATGTTATTACCGTCATCGACTGATGGTAAGTGATAATCGCTAATAAGATTTAACATTTTTATTTTATGACCATTTATTCTACCATGTGTACTACTATAACCTTTGAAGATCGAGTGTGGCCAGTTCAATTAGGCTGCCAGTACTCTGTATTGTATATAGAGAATTATTATAAAATTCCTAGACAAAATTACTTATTCTATTTTTTCTTTTTTCTTTTTGAAAATTAGGGCCATAGTGGAATCTATGCGAACTTAAGTCTTCATGTGAATGCAAACCGCAGGAAGCCAGGGAATTCCCTAGCCTCCAAAACTATTGGGAAATTGCCCCACGACCCCCTAAGATTTGGCTAATTCGGTATGAGTCCGACCACCAAAAGATACAATTAAATATTATTATAGCAACCATACCCTACCATACTAAATTACTATTCGTATAATAGAATTACGCTAAATCATTATCAGAAAAGATAAAAGAACATAGTGAAAAAACTTTTATTAACTATATGGGAAGCATTTTGTGAGAAAAACCATGTTTAATTGCAGACCGCCTTGACGACAAGTGTTTATGGAGTAGCTATGACTTAATTTTATTTGGTGAACAAATTAAATGTGATCAATCTATTTTGGAAACAACTAACTTCACTAATTGGCCACTATCTTCGTTGAAGACCACTAATTCATTGATTAATGATCTCTACGTGTAATCCATTCTAAGTTCGACTTTTTTTCTTGGTCACAAATGTGGTCATTTAAGTTTGAAAAGCAACTTACTTCATAAATTGGCAACTATCTTCGAGAAAATCTCATTAACTATTAATATATAAATCTAATCTATTCTATTCCAAGAAAATGGTTGGGTCTTTTCACAATAAAGGTAGTCGCTAAATTTGAATGAAATTCCAAGAAAATGGTTGGGTCTTTTCACAATAAAGGTAGTCGCTAAATTTGAATGAATCTGGAAATATTGTGATTAACTAGCATGATGATTTTGCACAATAGTAAAAAATTTGACATTTATGATATAACTTATATCGTTTCATCGCTTTTCATAAATGTTTTTAATACTCAAACTTAAATAATATAAATTAAGAAATTTAACTTAAAGTTTTCAAAAGATAATATAATAATCAAACTGCTCATCAGAGCCCATTCATACCTTGGGAACAGATAGTCCCAAGCTTGCTAAACTATTTTCTAACTCTGAACCATGGATGGCATATGGTGGAATTAACTAAAGGTTGCATGCTCCAATCCCATAACCTAAGTAGATCACCCTAAGCCATGATCACCTGTCAAAAGCTTATACTCAACCAGTATCACGAGATTTGTAGGATGTTCATGGGTTTCCAAATAGTTTAACCTCTACACTCACGCCCTAAAGTATAAAAAAATTTCTAACTCCGGACCTCTTATGAAGTACGGGAGAAAAGTGTCAGAAAAGTCCTAAACCTATTGCATTTGTGCCAATTTACTCATAAACCTTTTTATGGTGCCAATTTAGTAATAAACTTTTGAACTAGTGCCAATTCAGTCCTTTCGGCTAATTTTGGCTGGATTTTGCTGACGTGGACGCCAGTCGGCCTACATGGCACCACCGGCGCTAACGTAGATAATTTTTAATAATATTTTAATATTTTTTCGATTTTTTAATTATTTTTTCTGAATTTTTTTCTTTCTTCCTCCCTCCCTTTGCCGGTGACCGGCCACTAGCCACAGGCGATGGCTGGGTGAGGCCCGGTATGGCCTGGGCGAGCCTTGGCTAGGGCCGGCCTTGCCAGATCTGGCCTAGGCGAGGCCAACCACTGCCCACATGAGGGCGGGCTCCGGCAAGGGCTTGAGCCTTGCGCTGGCCTGGGCGAGGCTCTCCCTTGCCGGATCTGGTGAGGGCTCGAGCCTCGCGTTGGTCGACGAGGCTCGACCGTCGCCAGATCCAGCGAGGGCAAGCCTCGCCCAGCCGTTGGTGAGGGTTGCCCTCGCTAGTGGTCGGCGGGGCTCGCTAGAGGCCCTTTGGCCTCCAGCGAGCCTCACGCTAGTCGGCGAGGCTCGACCCTCGCGCTAGTCAACGAGGCTCGACCCTCGCCTAGCTGCTGGTGAGGATGAGCCTCGCCAGTGGCCGGCATGACTCACCAGAGGCCTCCTGGCCTCCAACCAGTTATTGGTTCGGTGACCGGCTGGACGAAGAAGAAAGGAAAAAAAATTAAAAAAAATTAAAATATTATTAAAAATTATCCACGTCATCACCGACGGTGCCGCGTAGGCCAACCGGCATCCACTTCAGCAAAATCCTGCTAAAATTAGCTAGAAAGACTAAATTGACACAAAAATAAAATGTTTAGAACTGAATTGGCAAAAAAAAAAATTTAGAACTAAATTGGCACCAATATAAAATGTTTAGGACTTTTCTGACACTTTTATCTGAAGTACAGTATCAATTAAGCAATTCACCAAGGAAAGCCCAATCTAACTTATGTGTAAAGTGATTTTTCATTTTTAACTTTTTTTGGTTTCTAGCAGTTGAATCTAAATTGATTTACATTTACTTTTGAAAACCTCAAATCGACGGAAATGTATACGTATTAATGATAAATTTGAAATATTTTATTTTATTTTTTGGTAGGAAAGTCAATTAAGTATTATTTGCTTAAAATGGATCTAAGAAAATGGCCCCTCGATCTTTAATTTAGCTAAATTTACGTCCACAAAACATCTCGTTCAGTCTAATCACATTGATATAATATTTGATTAAAGAAGATCGATCGACTCATTGCTTTTCTTTTCTCTCTTTTCTTTTTTTGTACGCATATTAGCAAAATTCAAGCACATCAAATCCAATATCAATTCACTTTCCCATTCCCACCGATCTAGGTTTCTTTTCTCAGTACGCGCGGACTTTTTGTCCCCTCACGGTGGCCAGAAAAAAACATATGATGGACATGGAACAACGAGGAACGCGGAGCAGTTCATTGGATTATTGGACAATGACAAGCAAATCCACGTCTTAATTGCTCGAACATTTTCGAATTCTTTTGCTATTTTGCCGCGGATTGAATGCTGGCCATAACTTAGGGTAGGAAAAGGTATTTTATGGACACTGACAGAGAGAGAGAGAGAGAGAGAGAGAGACTTAGCAAAGGCAGAGGAAGTCCCAACTAAAGTTTTGTCTTGTTAGAGGTTAAAAAAGTCCAGTCTTCTGTTTAGAAGAAGGCATTTCCTTCGTTTTTTTCTCCTTCTATCACAGTAAAATCAAAGAAAGTTTGACCAACAACTAAAGTTACCCACTTCTTGCTTTTTTATTTTTTTATTTTTCCTTGGGTTTAGTGAAGTACATATTCACAATTCAAAGTTCTTGGAATTCACCAAGATAACCCTTACGATTTGCATTAATAAAATTTATTTTATACCTTTTCAAATTTATTACTTGACCTTTTAGGTCCAAGATCCTATGTTTTGCACAGATTAAATTGGAAAAGATAGGTGAATTTTGTGCCACCCAAAATTTAATAGTTTATTAATTTTTATTAATTGTGTTAGTGCCCCCAAGGAATTAAGTGTTGTTTCTTTTGAAACATCATCATGCGAATTATTAAACATTAACTAAGTGGGTGCACACTATAGGTAAAGGGGTAATATATAAAGCAGATAGTAATTATTTACTAAAGTAATTTGGGTAATTTGTTTAGTAAGTATTGTTTTTTTTAACCTTCCTTAGCACGACGAAAATAGAAGGGGGTATTAAAAAAATGGAATTGTATGACAATAGATGCTTACACATTCAATTAGAGAAATAAATAACATTTTTTTACAAATTTTTTCGGGATGTGTATTTCTAGCAATTTGGTTGGTTTATGTACTGCAAGTCATTGGTTCGACAAATAATAAGACAAAAATGTATTTTTCCTTTTATGTAATAATTCACTTTTATTGCTTAACTATGAGACGAATATGCGATGGTAACTCGCCGACTTACCTAATTTCTTTCTCCACACGCATGCATGCTTGATCAGTTTACATCCATGGAAAGTTGAGCTTGGAAACGAGTAAGTGTCACTAGATGGACAGTCGGAAATCATGAATTTATCAAGTGCAAGTTAGAAAAAAAAAGTGCTATTTTATATCCTTAGTCAAAGGCAAAATGCATGGACAGTTAGGGTATCAAAAACAATGTAAAGAACGAGTCAAAGATTCCAAAGTTGCCAAATCTTGCTAAGATTATACCAATCCATACCTACATGTACCGGAAAGAGATTATTATTAATTTTTCTTT